TTGAAATATTATTCTCCAATGGAAAAACTGTACATTGTATGCACAGGCTATGCCACCTATATCCCTGTGATGATGAAGGAGGAACAAAAAGCTTCACCCCACTTCTGGCCTTTACGGATCCTGTTCTGTACTGTAGCACAGGGCAGCTAGTAATACACTTCCCAGGAAGAACAGTGTTTCTTCATGGGAAAGCACATGGAGAGTCTTAGCTGTGATCTCTTTTTGAGAAAAATAACAGGTTGAGCGCACCACCACAAGATCTGCAACAATCAGAACATGCTGCAGGCATCATTCAATGTCATTCAAACCTCACAGATCCTGGCCTGAATTAACTTGGCATCAGCATGACAGCAGGAAATGAAGAACCTCAAAGGAATATTAGTTTTTTCCTTGGCTGCTAGTTTAGCACATGTGTGTAATGGTATCCCAGTCACAGTGAAGTCCAGACCCAAATCCAGAGCTGCTCGGCTCAGATGCAGCAGGAAACAAATAGTTGTTTTGTTTTTTGGCCCAGAGGCTGTACTTTTCTCTTAGATTAATTCAGAATTCCTTGTGCAGTTGCAAAACATTACCTTTTATGTGCGTGGCATTAGGGAGACAGTTGCGGTGGAGGCATCTTGTTCTACATCTCGGCATAGGAAAAAAGCCATCCTCATTGGTTCTAAGAGTGATGGGGTAAAGGAGCAGACCCCAAGCTGATGGATTCCTCTTTTGAGAAAGGTGTAGGCAGCTCAAGGGAACAGGAAAGAGCACCTGAATAGTCCTGATTGGCTACAACATGCTGGAGGAAAATGTTGCTGTTATACCAGGCAGGCTCGTCCCTCAGAAGGCCAGGATTGCTCATGGGTGGGCTTTACCTGAGGTCTGGGAAAGATTGGGTGAGCTCTGAATACCTCTAAACTCAAAAGCACCATCACATCATTTCTATGTGAACTACAAGAAAAAACTTCGGACCCTGATCCCTCCACTACCCAACCAAAAGACATTATACATGCTCCCTAAAATCCACAAACAAGGGAACCCCCAGCAAACTATCATTTCAAATCATGGAGTCCTAACTAAAGAAATATCAGGTTTCCTCAAATCCATCCTAAAACCTCTTGTCACCCAAAGACGAAGTTTTATCCAAGACACAACAGACTTTTTATGAAAACTCAAAAACATCGACCACCTTCCCAGCAATACCCAGCTTATATACCAACATCCCACACCAGGATGGCATCCAAGCCTATTTCACATATCTGCAAGAACAAGATTATAACTCAGAGTACAGACCTCAAGATATTACTGAAGTTATACAAGTCAACCTTACACACAACAACTTCAGTTTCAACAAACAACACTTCCTCCAGACCGTGGGTACAGCTATGGGCACCAAAATGGCCCCACAATATGCCAGCCTTTTCATGGCCCACCTGGAAGAAGAATTCCTCAAAAACTGCACCATCAAATCTGTGCTATACCTGAGATATGTAGATGACATCATCATTTGGGCTGAAAACCTACAGTCTCTGATTGATTTCCATCACAAATTCACCAGTCATCACCCCTGCATCAAACTATCTCTTGAATACTCAAACACCACATTTCTTTTTTGGATACCGTGATCACTATCCAAAATGGGAAAATACAAAACACCATATACAAGAAACCCATGGACCAACATACATATCTACACAGAACAAGCAATCACCCTAAATATATAAAAAAAGCTGTAATTTACAGCCAAGCTCTGCGATACCACTAAATTTGCACCGAGGAGAATACCTGCAATTGTCACCTGAGAAATCTCAAAACAGCTTTCACCCAACAAGGACACTTCTCCAGAGGCATAGGTTGCACTTATGAAAGAGCCACCTGGATGCCACATGAAGTATTACTGAAGTACAAAAAGAAAATCCCCTGAAATTGCACACCATTATGACATGCCATCCTGCCCTGGAACCTATATGGAAAGTGCTCAGACAGTTGTAACCCATACCTGAAGAAGACCCAGTTCTTAAAGAGATCTTTCCAGAACCACCCGTCCTAGCCTTTAAACAAGCACCAAACTTTGCTAACCTCATCACCAGAAGCAAACTCCCTATGACCCAAACCACACCAAATGGATCCAGACCATGCTAGGACAAGACATGTAAAACCTGCCAACACATCACCACCAGCCCCACAATAACTACACCCCACAATAGAACTATCACCATTCCTGGATCTTACACCTGCACCTCCAGAAAAGTTATATATCTTTTTCAATGCACCAAATGCCCTGATGGAAAATATGTAGGAGAAACCAAACAACAACTGCTCACCAGAATGAACGCACATTGAAAATCCATCAAGATAAAAATAACCAGTTACCTGTGGGTGTCCACTTCTCACAAGACAATCACTCCCTCTCCAATCTCTCAGTTCTAGTCCTCAAAGGGAACTTACAAAACACCTTTCATAGACAAGCCTGTGAACTTCACTTAATAAATCTGAATACAAAAAATCATGGGTTTAATATTGACATTGGATTTATGAGCCTGACATCTGATTCACCAGGTACCTGCCTGAAACTGATCATTTGCATTCCTTCACACATCTTCCCCCCTGCCCTTTTCCCTTTTCCACACCTATCTCTACCCGTTGTCTTCCAAACTTCCACTCATTTACATTTTCACAGACTTCTTATCACACTTTTAGCTTCTTTTTTACCTTGGAGAACTCAGAACAACAGCAGTCTCCCAATGCTTGAAGAAGGGTGTTTGTGTATGAAAAGCTTGCAAAGAACTTTTTTCCAACTATTTAGTTGGTCTAATAAAAGATATCACATCTACCCAAAGAGCCTTGCCAGCCTATGTCCTTAGACCAACATGGCTACAACCAATGATCCTGAAATTTGACATGTGCCACTCTGCATTTTGAGGAGGAACATCTCCTTGGTACAGCCCTGGTAGAGGGCTCTTGGAAAGTCCTGCTGGACAGTGTTGCCAAACCTGTTTATAATAAATGGAGTTGGGCTTGTTTTTTTAAAAAGTTGCTTTAATTTTTAGAGACGCATGGGTTATGTTTTTGGGGGGCTTTTTTATTTGCAGGTTGCTCATTTGGGGCTTTTTTGTAATACAGTGGTTCCCAAACTGTGGGTTGCCAAAACAAGATGGGGTCGCAGAAGGACCTGGCCTGGGCAGCATGAAGCTTTCAGGTGGGCTGCTGCTGCCACCCCAGGGACCTGCATGCCTTCCCCAGTGTCCAGCCTGCTCTGGGCAACAGGTAGGGAGAGGGCGGGTGCCTGGGGAGGGGGCTGAAGCTGGGCGGGAACATGGTGCCCACACCCAGGGGAGCAGGGGAAGCATGGAGCCTGGGTGGGCAGGTTGTGGGTGTGAGGTGTGAACAACCATGATGGGGAGTGCCATCAGCAGCAGCTCTTGGGGCACTCATGGCCTGCTCAGGTCCAGGCTCCCAGCTCCAGCCAGCGCTGAACAGTGGGAGTGAGAAGCGTAGCCCCAACAATCGCCTCTCTCGCACTGGGTTTCACACAGCACATGTGCAGCTCTGCGCTACTGGAGAAAGCCTGGAGTCAGCTGTCTTCCCCGCCCACTGCCATGTAGGTCCTGGGAAGCAGGGGGTGGGGAAGGCAGCTGGCACCAGCCTGCACTGCTTTCCCCATGGTTGCACGGAGCTGCACATGGGCTGAGCAGAGCCCGATGCAACAGAGGCAGCCAGCAGGGCTGCGCTCTTCACCCCCGGCACTGGTCAGACTCGTATGTCGTGGGGCGCTGGTGCAGGCTCCTGTACGGGTCTGTCACTGGTGGCAGCAAGGGCTGTGTGTCATAGGGGGAGTGTGTGGGGGGTCTCCAGACCCTGCCTCCACACCCCAGCTCCCACATATACAACCCAACATCCCGTATTGCCCCTCCACACACAGCCACACTCCCTCACAACCCCCTCCCGCACACACATACCCCCCATCACCACTCCTCTCTCCTTGACATGGGCTGGGCTTTTTATAGGCTTGTTTATAAAGGTAGTGCCACCTTTTACCTCCTAGACTAGGCAACACTGCTGCTGGACTTTCACTAGATGACTGTGTTGAGTCCCAGTTCACTGGACCCTTGCACTCGTATGCCTCCCCAAATCTGAACAGAATCCCTGTGGCTGCAGTCTCTAGGCGCTATGTCAGAGTTCGGACCCTTCTTTTGAAAGCAGAGACCCATCAGATTTCTCTCTAATTCAAACAGACTCACTCCTGCATTGGAAAGAAAACACAGATTGGCCCCTTTCTCCAGGATTTGTTTTCTCTACTCTCTCTCTTCACCTAAATTTGCAGTGTACACAGCTGAACTGTGAAATGATCAACATTTATTTTGAGAATAATGTTTGTAGACATCCCCCTCACTGCATATTTCTATGTGCTGGGATCAGACTGTTTCACCGGTCTGGGACGCAGCAGTACCTTTGCAAGGTCCCAGCCCTTTCACTTATATTCTGGGAAGAAAAGCTTAAGAATTCTATGAATATTTGTGGTGCTTTAGGTCACAAGGGGCTGTCTTTTCCTTCATGGAGCTGACTCTTGTGCTTTTTGCTAGCCTCTTCTCCACAGTTCTCAAAACACCCTATGGCTACTGGGTTTGATCATGCTTACCTCCGCAGCACATTCACTTGGGGGAAAAAGTGCAGGTTTGAGCATATATATAGCTAACACCTTTGTGACCCATTTTAGAGATGGGTAAACTGAGGCAGACAAGAGCCAATTGATATAGGATGCAACACAATGGAGAAAAAAAACTTAGGACTCCTGATTTCTCACTGTTGATCAAGCTCTCAAGCTACGTTTTCTGTCCTAAGAGAAAATCTAAATCCACTCTAGAGCCACTCATGTCCACTGAGGGGAAAGCAAAACCCATACTTTAACTTTGTTCCCTTTCGCTTTGAGAGCCATTCTAGTTATGTTCCATTACCTCACAATGAAAGTGAAAGTTCAGTTAGGAGAAGCAAGTTCACTGGATAATAAATGCAAACAGTGAGGAGCAAAGTGTAAGGAAAGTCCCTTTCCCCCCTCATTTGGCAGGGGCAGATGGAAATAGCAGGGGAGGCAGAATCCTCTGCTGAATAAATTGGGAGTAGGAGGATTATCATCCATTTTGCAAGGTTTTCAGCTCCTGGAAGTGCCATGACAAAGGGGCAAGATGCAGTCAAGGACCTGAGACTTCTCTTAGATGCACGTTGCCTTTCAGGTACTGTACTGTTCCCCCCCCCCAGCAAATGTTAGATTTTTCTTTTTTAAGTGTCGCTGCTTCTAGATGGACCCAAGCATTTAGGAATTTGCGCTAACTATCAAAGCAAGGAGTAATGTGAGCAGGAACATTGCTGTATAAGGAAGTTCCAAGGCTTTTCTTATGTATATTGCTTAAACTATAAACACAACCCTACAACTTTTATTAATCTGTGATGTTGACATCTTTTTCCAAATATTTTAATCCTGCCAGGATTGCCTTGCCTGTGAAGCAAAAGCTATAAAAATGTTGGTTTGTTGAAAAGGAGATGTGTAATGCAAGAGAAAGGGTTTGTAGTTTTCATACTTGTGTTGTTAGGTCAGTTTTATAGCTCTCAGCAATTGGCAGGACATGTACCAATGAGCATACTGTCTTTGCCGATGTTTTGCATCTGGATAGGTAAGGTAGGTGTTTGCAATGATTTGTTTTGCAGGGAATTCAGAGTAATGTGCTGCAAATATTTTGCATTTTAGACTGCTGGGTTTTATAGACTGGAAAATCAGGCAAATGTTTTGCATCATTTATACCCGTGCTAGGTAGACAAAAATATAAAAATGGTGATCTCTTTCCAGTAGCCCGTCAACAGTTGGTTCCTAAATCCAGTGATCAGAGAACCATCATCTTCAGATAGTTCATGTATGCACTGAGTTGTAATTTATTCAATATCCTGGTAAAATGAGAAAGTTCACTCTCAGATCCTTTTAACATTGTCAGCATTTCCTTTTTTGAAATGCTTATTTTGAAATGATAAATGACTCAGAATGGCTTTGTCAGAAGTTTGCTAAGAGAATCCTTCTGATGCTTCTCTTGATGCTTGAGATTTCATAGATTTCATAGACATTAGGGCTGGAAGGGACCTCGGAAGATCATCGAGTCTAGCCCCAAATAAAATCTTGGGCTGTCAATTAATCACAGTTAAGGTGCACGATTAACTTGTTATTTGGTTCTTGTGTTAATTTTTAATGTATTAATTGCGCACATGGTTATGGAGCCCGCACATGGGCACTGCAGTACTCTGCACCTGGGCACTGCTTTGCCACCCAACGGGGCAGTGATGGCAGGGCAGAATACTGCAGGGCAGCTCCGCTGTGGACTCTGGGTGGTTGCATGCAGTGGCGGGGAACCGTGTGCCACCCCACATCCCTGGGTGAGTCTCCTGTGGCTCCATCCCATGACCTGACCCGTCCTGACCCTGGGGCCCCATTCACCCCAGCACCTGCCTCTGTCCCTGCCCCAATCCCTCCCTTAATGTGGGCACATCAATCTGCCCCCACTTTCCTCTCTCCCCGCCCCTCCCCTTCCACAGACTTACCAGCACAGTGCTTGCTGTCTGTGTCTGCCTGTGTCTCTCTTTCTCTTTCTGTGTGTGTGTGTGTGTGTGTGTGTGTGTGTGTGTGTGTGTCTGCCCCTCAATTCCAAGCCACAGTCCCCTCCAGCCCTGCTGATGCTCCTCAATCCTGATCCATAGTACCCCGCATCCTACCAGGGCTTGTGGGGACTGCTGCTCCCCAGGCTCCAAACCCCACAGCCTCCAACACTTTCACAAATCCCTCCCAACACACACGCACACCACCCCCCAACTATACAAAGTACCTGCATAATTTTGAATTTTTCTGCACATAATTTTGAGTTTTTAGTGGTGTAATTAAAATCGCGATTAACTGCGACTAATTTTTTTAATTGCACAGCTAACTCAGATCAATTTTTTAATCATTTGACAGCTGTACCACATATGTTTTATTCTCTGTTATACTGCAGCTACTGCTATGCTTCCAAGAAGATTAAATGTGATTGGAAGGATTGGGAGCAAAAGTGTGTGGGTGTAACATGCACATGCACACACATGCACAGACAGTGAAATGAAGTTAATTGTATGTGGAGGACACCACAAAATGTTCCAGACATCAAACAGATTATTAGTACTTTTTGGTGGTCAAAAATGACCTTGAAAGACTTTAATAAACGTGCAGTTTTTTCCAAAGAGCTGGACACAGTTGTCTCCACAGAATGCCAGTAGCCCAGCTATGGATTTATATAAAACCAAACTCTACTCACAGACCCTGCCTGCAGGACGTAGTATGTTTTTTATCGGGATCTTGCATTTGGTTTCATACAGCTGCAGTGGGTTTCGTTATTGAGAGTAAAAATAGGAACAAGTTTGCCTACTTGATTAATAGAGCCAAATTTCCCAGTGGTGGCCTAAATAAACATCAGTAATACTAGAAACAAGCTGTTAAAATCTTAATAAATCCCACTGGGTTTCGGGAATGGAGTGTTGACGTCAAAGGGAGGCTTTGTTGCTTGTGGCAATGTCAATCTTGACTTATTATATTTAACAGATTGCATTCTGTGCATTGTTTCACTTATGTTTTATTGCCTCACTTAAAGACTCTGAGGACTTAAGTCTGAATACTATGCAGTTCTTGACTTAAGAAGAAAGTCTGACTGTTTCTGGATTGGTTTTGTAGGGATCTAAAGTTTAGAGGAAGTGCTCTTAAAAAAACTGAGAGTAATCTCTGTATTTAAAGTAAAGATCTGCAGCTCTGCATCACGTGTGTATGTATTAGAGTAGACACCAAAAAAGTTTATGGGATAAGTACGTATGCTTGTGGTGATCTTAGAGAATCCAGGTGAATTTACCTAACATAGTGCTTAGAGCACAAGTGAATCTGGAGCCTGCTAATTAATTAAAATCTGTGTGGATATCATCATTGGCTCACTTTGTTTTGATTTGTATGCCTTGCTGTAATACATCAACACAAAATAAAGCACTGATACAATTGAACTCTGGAAGTTACACCTATGAGGAGTCAAGCCTGCTGCTTCTAATTTAGACAGCTTGGCCTCCTGTCATTATTAGTTCAAGTCTTTGAAAATTAATGTGATTGGAAGTGTCATTGTAGTTGTTAGAAGGCTAGTGTCAGATTCAGGACATTCTGGAGCCATTTAAATCAACAGGAGTTGGCCATTAATGTTGATGGAGATCAAGACTTCACCTCTGTTATCCACCCAATAACTGCAAGCTACTTCCCTAGACAGTGCTTCAGTTTACCAGTCTATACAATGGAGTATTTTATTCTTGACCTTATAAGTGTGCCGTAAGATTCTGATTCACAAGGTGACATGCAATCCATAGTTGAAAAGGTGCATAGATTGTTATAGTAGTGGCCAAAATCCTACAACCATTTGTGCTCACACAAGCAAAATCCTCCTAGTCTTCAGTGAAAGCTTTGCTAGAGTAAGATTAAAGAATATTACTAGGGGTCTACCAAAGTTGAGGTGGCTGCCGGCTGATTTCCCAGGCAGATGCCTAGGCTGGCAGCCATTTTCGTGGATCGAGTATGGCAGGGCTCCCCCCACCTCTGATTGGCCAAGGGGCTCTGGTGGCTCTGCCCCTTGCCACTGATTGGCTATGAGGACTGTCTGACATATGGTCCCGCCCCTCACCTCTGATCGTCTGTGAGGTTGTCCATCATGTGGCCCCACCACTTGCCGCCAGTTGGTGGTAAGGGGCAGGGTCGTATGATGGACAGCCCTCACAGACAATCAGTGGTGAGGGGCAGCACCCCTCTGGCCATGCCAGCAACCCTCCCCTTCCCTTCCCCCTTGCCAAGGGAGAGGCATAGACCCTTGCTCCTCTCCATCGCTCTGTTGCAGTAGCACATTTGGTCTTAGCATCTCCTTTTGATTAATGCTATTTCTCTGATTGAAACAGTGCTATTAGGTTACTTGTGGACTACAGTTATTTATGTCTTAATAAATGCAAGGCTCAGTTTTAGAAAAAAACAAAGGAAAGGAAAGATGTCAAGTTATGGAAAAAGAAATAAGAAAAAAAAGGGTTTTAGATGACTTAAGCTCAGTACTTTCAAGCTAGAGTCTTGTTAGTCATGTTAGTTTCTGCTGAACAACCTTCCTTCTTTGGTTATTTTTGCTTTTTCCTGTGCCCCTTTGGAATTAGAAGCATGAGTGCCAAAATTCCCTAAGGAAAAATAGTTCAGGGGGGAAGTCATCCCATTCAACTCAGCTGAGCTGCACCAGTGTTGAACGTGACCCACGATGTATGCAGTCTATTTAGATTCAAGACTTAGGACAAATTTTGAAGGAAATGGCTATTAAAGATACGGAGATATATGTTAAGTGAGATAAAATAAAAATGGTTTTACAAAAGATTTGGAACTTTTGCTTAGAGATGCAGTGAAAAACAACCAGCGTTTCATTCTGGGCTTGTTTCCCAAAACTTTGCTAGTGATTAGAGACGTAGGGAGTGCAGAAGTACAATGTATAACAGCTCTCTGTTAGGCACAAAAGACCATCAAAATAGCTATGCTGCCTCATTTCTGGGTTGGGTGTGACCACACAAAGAACCGTCAAAATAACTATGCCGCCTAATTTCTGAGTTGGGCATGTCTGGGCTGGAGTAGGCAATGAGCACTCAGGCGTGCTCAAGAACAGACTTCCCGCAGAGAAACATAAATGAGGTATAAAAATACTTTGAGCAGTCTGAACTCCCAGCACCTCACACAAAATGCTGAAGCCATTGTAAGATAGTAGTCCAAAGCTATAAAAATGTTTGTTTTCTAAAGCCCTTCAGCAGAACCAACCCAGGGAACAAAGTACAAGAGATACTGAGACCAATACTAAGCTGAGTAGTGTATCAGCTGTTGACACCTTTAGCTGATATAGTTTATAGCTGGATAATATGGTATGGTATCTAATCCAGTTGCTTTTCTGGAAAATATTTGCTATTGTGCAATATGGTACTTTAACAGACTGGGAGGAAGGTGATGAGTGAATTTTTCAAAAGCAGTCCAGTGACTTAGGAGCCTTATGACCAGATTCTCAACGGTCTTTAAGTGCCCAAGGATGCAAAGAGGTGTGATTATCAAAAGTGCCTACATGACTTGAAGCCTCAATCCTACTGAAATCAATGTGAATGAGATGGCTGTCCTGCTTGGGTATTCCTGGAAATTGCTGTAGACATATATTTGTACCTAAAGGAGCATAAATACTATTATAACACGGGCCTTAAAGCTCCTAAATCACTGAATTGCTTTTGAAAATTTCCCCAGTATCATCATTTGCTCTGCAGGGCATGGAGGCAACCAATCTGCTGCTGGGTTTAAAAGAGGACCTGAGGTTTTCTCAGGCATTTGGCCATTTTGTGGATGCTTTCAGTATGACTGCAACATGAATGGATTCCCATTCTTGCAAACTCTACCATCTTCAGTTGCATTGATCCCATTGGTCAAGGCCAGTAGCTCTTGGTGTTTCTGAAAGTTCAGATAAGCAGGTGCTTCATTTAGAGGTGTGAATGAAACAGGCCACCATGTGGAAGCTTTGTAATGCTGTCCCAATCTTTCATGTGTATTTGCTATCATAAACATGGTAACATGCAAGCCAAGTCCGAATGCATGACTGTACAGATGAATATTAGAGCCGGGTGAGGGTGGTGGGCGTTTGCAGAGAATTTACTATTTCCCTTTTGCTTTTGCATCTCTTTCACTGTGGCCTGCCTGACCTGGCAGAGCTGTGCATGACATTAGGAACAGAACAGAGATTATTGCATTCCTTTATTAAGACTCTTCAACAGAAGTGTGTGGAGGTCTGAAAGCAGATAGCATGGGGCACTGCAAGTTTGGGTTGGGATACATCTGTGGAGGTGGTGTGAGGTAGTTTGCATCTGAATACTGAACCAACCAATATTACAAAAATAAAGGAAGAGAGAGGACACCAAAGACATTCAAAGAGAAAGTGAGCTGTGCTCAAGAAAGATACACATTTTGCAATAGGGAATATATTATCTTCAGAAATACAGATGGTTATATAAGAACAAGTAGTAATGAAGAGTAAAGTGCACCATCAAAATGTCAAGTACCATGTTGGATGATAAAGCCTAAGGGTATGTACAGAAGTACTCCATGAACCTTTTATAGTGCTGTAATTTAGAGCACCTTTTTATAGCACTATAAAGTTACAACACTCTTAAACATGGCAGAAGTGCAGTGTTGGCGTGGAGGAGGGGGGTGCTTCTGAGCCTCCCTGCACTTTCCAGGCTGGGAGGCAGGGAGCGCTCTGTAGCGTCCTGGGGCTTCTCCACTGGTCAGAAATTAAGTTGGAGCAAAAGTTCAGCCTGTAATTAAAACAAAGACCTGGGATTCAAGCTCTCTCTCCTTATCTCTTAATGCTAAATGGCTTCATTGGGCACATGAAGACGAAAGTGTCAGTCACTGTTTTCACATAAGCCTCATTCTTAATAGGGAAAGTCCTGACACTGAAGCGTCATCAATTTTCTTTCTTTCTTTCATACTTCTTTTGTTCTTTGTGTTTTTTTCTTTTTTGTCTGGAGTGTGCAGCCAGGCCTTGCAGGCCATGAGCCCAGGCCTTGTCCCTGAGGCCCAGATCTTCGGGCCAACCCGTACATGATCTCTACTGCCCCCCATTTGTCACCCTCCGCGGAGGATGCCTCTTAATAAATGCCTCATAATAAATGCCTCTTAAAAGTCAAAAGTCTTTCTTTCTTTCTCTCTTTCTGTCTGTCTGTTACCAATAAACTGAAATTGAATTTCAACCTTATTAACAGACATTGTTTTGATGTAGACTGATGTGAACCCCATCCCAGTACCATAGGCTAATCAGTATCACAAGACAAAAATCATTAAAGAAGATTTCTTTTAAAAAGGCAGTATAGCTGAGTAGTAAAACTTCACACACAATTGTCATTGTCTGGCACTGGACGCAATTACATTTTTAGATGAGAGACTTGTGTTTGAGCGACATCTTCCACAAGGGCAACACTGTGAAATCGAGAGGGAATATTTGGAGCCTAATTTTTCACTGCAAGATACAGTTTGTTCCACCACAGTTAATCGGAGTCTCTTATGTCCTTATGCGGTGGGAGAATAAATACTTGCAGTTCTGTTTCTGTTATTGCAAAGACTAAGAAGTCCGTTGTAATTTTGGGTGCTCATTTATAAAAAGGAAGCGGTGCTCCCTCTTGTGGTCTAAGCAGACAAGGACAAGGATTTAGTCACTTGGCACATCACATTTAAGCCGGCTCAGGAGACAAATAAACATGCAGGCTTGTTTATTTGTGAGCGCTCGGGAAACTATTGGTTGGCTTAAAGTAGTTTTGATTTATTAGTCCCTGATGCATTGTAAGATATTGATCAAGGAAATTAGGTAAAAATAATGTCAAAATGAAAATATTTCCACATTTTTTAAAATAAACCTTAAAAATGTGGATAGCCTTTCCTTCCACATTTACTTCAGTTTTTATTTAAAAATAATTAAGCAACCATTAAATTTGAAAACAAAATGTATCATTTAGGTTAAACAAAGTTTTGTTTGAAATGACACAATTTTTTCCCTAATCACTTTCTGAACTACATGCAAACTGAATACATCAGCCACTGACTGGCGCACCTCTAACATATTCAGGCTATTACCCACATTTAGCCTGCAAGGCATGTGCTTAGGACTTGCCATCAGTGGTGTATGTATTGTGTTCTGCTTCCTCAGAAAAAAATATAAATGCCACATACCATATGTTCTCATATACAGCACACTTTAAAAAAAAATCAGTGGCTAGAAATTGAGGTGTACATTACATGAGAGAAAATATGGTAACAGCAGTCTCTGCTGCTTTCCAAGGAAAATGCAAGTAAAGTCTGTGTGCAGTCCACAGGGAGCAGAACAACGAGCAGGCTCAGGTCCCTCGCTGCTGCTACTCAGGTACTTACTACAAAGAAAAATCTTTTTTTCTTCATTCTGCCTTTAAAAAAAAACCAAGGTGTGTGTGTCTTATTCCAGGGCGCACTGTATGCAAGAAAATATAGCAATTAGCCAATTGGAAAGCAGGTGATGGAGCTGATAGGAGTTTTGTAGATGTCTTGCTATCCAAGCACCATTATTGACATCTGTCATCAACACTATGTAGAGGACACATTGTATAGGAGAATACCTGCCTAGGGGGTGCATCTACACCATGAATAAGTTGTAGTTACTGTGCATTAAGTTTAGTACTTGCATAACCAGGTACTAAATCAGTGCTCAGTAACTGGTGCTACTGTGCAGTAGCACTGGCACATGGGTGCAAAGCAGCTAGCATTCGTTTCAGATTCGGCCGATTCAGGGGACAGTGATTCAGTTCAGTGATTCGAATTGCTATCCTGAATTGATTTGGCTGAATCTGATTCAGAGATTCGGCTCCTCCAAATCAGCCAGGCCCATCCCCCGCCTACTCTCCCAGCCCGGCAATGGCTGTCCCACACTGCCTGGGGGGCTCAGCACGAACCCCCTGACTCCCCATCCCTGCTGTCGCAGCCCCCCCATGGCTGCCCTGCCTGCCAAAGCTCCGGCCCTTTAAGGAAAAACAAAAACTGAGAAAAACCCCACACTCACCATTCCTGCCAGTGGTGGGGGATCCCCGCTGCCCCATGCCACATTGCGGGGTGGGGGCTCTTTTACGAGCCCCCTGAAGCCCCGAGACCGCTGCAGGAGTGGTGAGTCCCGGGGTTTTTCTCATTTTTTTTTTCTTAAAGAGTCGGAGCTGGGGCAGGTGGAGCAGCCATGGGTGGGGTGAGGAGAGGCTGGGGGCGCAGGCAGAGGATGGGGCCTGGCAGGGGTCCATCCATGGTCCCCTCCCCCCTCCTCCAGCCTCCCCTCCCCTGCCCCCTGCCTACTAGCTCCAAGTCCGACTCCAGCTCCCTACTGCAGCAGGTGGGGACTGTCCGATTCATTGAAACTCTCCAAATCTTTTCCAAAGATTTGGAAAGCTTTGAATCAATTTGGACCTTTTAATTGGTCCCCTAATTTGATTCAGATTTGGAGATTCGGCCACCAAATCGGGCTGAATCTCCCCTGAATCAAATCACCACCTGAAGCTTCACACACCCCTACTAACTATGCAGTAAGTTAATACTACTACACAGTAACATATTAACATGGGTTTTGCCTGGCTGCACAGTGTTATTAGGCTACTGCATAGTTAGTGTCTCATGTAGACACACCCAGAGTTACCTAATCTGGCTTGCAAACACTGATATCTGGCATGGTAAGAAAATAGTTGCACAGCCCTGAAGGCTGTACTCAATATTGCTCTGATGGGGCAGTCTGGTAAGGCATGGTTCAGGGGGTCTCCTGTTTCTTACTAAAGGAACATAAGCTAAGATGAAAGAGGCAAGAATGATTTTCTAACCATTATAGTTTGTTTCTAAACAGAGCACTGATTCCTGCGGTTTGGATTTAACACTGCATAACAGCTCTTGTGTGCCTTACACCTGTGAATCACTGAGCAGATACCTGGGACCATTGGACCCAGCGTACAAAACGTCCTGATGGGATCACTCCCTGTAACACCATTGTGGTTCCTGTTCCTGTCTCTGCAGATTTTCTTTGCTTTGTCAAGTGAGTACCTCTATTTGATCCTTTCAGAGTAATAATTAAGATCTTTTTATGCTGGAATGGGAAAGCTGAGCAATGCTCAGTTAAAGCTAGACGCTCTGAGAATGGGAAACTACTAAAATCAGGGAAAGGAAGTGATCAAATTTAACCAAAAACCTGCACTTCAGCATGGAGAGGTAATAAATAACTCTAAAAAGACTATTTCACAGCCTGTCAAACCAGCATGGTTTGAATTCATTAGGTGTATTAGTTTTTAAGGAATCATAAGCTCCCATTTGTTGTCTGGAAGTGAGCAGCTCCTCCCCAGAGGTCACAACTCTTTCCAGGGCAGCCAGAGTAAAGGTCTTGTTTGACACATCTGGTAGAGCTGCTGCCTAGGGCCCATAGGCACACTGAGGCTTGAATAAACTGCAGTGACAGGTGACAGCACGATCAGCCACTAATAGGGAGGATTCTGTTCTCAGGTGTGTTTGCGGGGGTCTAGGTGTCTGTGAGTCACCTAACGCTAAAGGTGGGTTAGCCTTCAAGAGCTTTTGGAAAGGGAGGGCAATAAGAAAAGAAAATTTCATGAGAGATGAGATTGGCACTGCAGCTACAAACCTAATCAGAGAGACTTTCCCTTTCAATGCACTCGCTGAATCCCTAGGTTCCCAATCCAAGCTGATGCTGCAGCAGCGCACAGAGTACTTACTTACCTTCTGTGTTTCTAGCCCCTGCACTGGAATTTGCCAGCAAAAGAACTGGGGCTAAAACACCTTATAAAATCTGCTAGTTGGCAGAGGCACTAACACCTAAGCCAGTGCTAAGGTTTGTCTTAAGTCTGTCATCTGCTTTAACAGTGAAATGTTTGGGACACGGAAGGGTAGATAATCATTGTTTTTCATTTGTTTTCTCCCTTAGATGTTGTTCACCGTACCAGTTTTTTGTGCGGTCCCAATAAGGTTCTAAATATGACAGTGACCTGGTGTGATCCGCTCTGCCCAGATGAAACTTTCAACAATTATGTCAGAATCGACAATACAGCCAGAACATTTCTCAGTAATGACAGAAGCCTTCACCTCAGTGTTCATCAACAGGATGTCACTGTGCACATAATAAACACAACACAGTTGGAAAAGAAAATCTACAGAATTTTGATCACAGAGAGCAAACAGTCTGTAGACAGATATCTACGAATGAAGTGTACAGGTAAGTTTCAGGTGGAAAATAGATTACACAGTGAAAGTATATTTTTCTGGTTTTGGAACAGAAAAGTGTGTGTGTGGGGGGTGGGAATTAAATAAGCAAATATTCAGACAAATCATTTACTAAAGCAGATATCAATATGAAGAGTAAACTATTTCAGACAAATGCAGCTCTCAGGTACACTGAGCCTGAATTTAAGATACTACAATGAGCAGTTGTATGATAAAAATCGACTCTGATTAACTATCTGCACAATCACATGGGAATTGGTGGAATTGCAAGGGATATCAAACTTGCATGTTATAGATATAGTGCAAATGATATTCCTGCAGTTCAGTAAATGAGCCTTGTTATAGGATAATAAAACTTAAAGGAAAAAATACTTGTTAGGTCATCTCATAGATTGTACTGTGTAAGCATGAGATGATTTTTTGTAGCTGGTAGGATTAGCCAGTAGTGCAAATTGATATAACTCAAAAAGTCAATGAAGTTTCACTTACTTGTCCCAGCTGAGAAACTGGCTGAATATGCCTTCCCCTTGCATTCCCCATCACTTTTCTTGTAACATTTTTTTCATAGTCTTAAATGATGTCACCATTAGATTTTTTTCATTCTAAATTTACCTTGTTGCACGTCATACTCCTAGTTTAGACCCCTTTCTCCTACCACAAACTAGTTCTTCTCTTCATTTACAGTAACATTGGTCTAATATTTTCCAACTAGTGCTATTGGCATAACATTTGAACGTCCCTAGAACCCACCAGTAACTGCTGACATTGGTGCTATAGAATCCATCCTCGTTTCGAACAAAGCAACAGTAGTTGATGATAAGCATCTTGGTGGGCAGCACAGAGACAAGGCGTTCAAAGAGAATGACTTGCATGCTATAGAGCTACAAAGATTTATTCACAAGACAGGAACCCAGAGACATAGAGGCCTGTAATACTGACCTCTGCTTGCATAGCAAACTCTACCTTCCCTTCTCCTCTCACTGCCCCAATGAAAGAATAAAGAAGAAACTCCTTTTTTCCACACCTGTTTGCCAAAATAAGCCTGCTAGTACAGTAGAGGTTTGGCAAACCAGAGTAATATGCACTGTATATTGACCTGAGTCTGATCCTAGTTCCTGTTGCTCACTTTTCATTAGCCCACAAAATACTTAAAAATCAGGAAAAAATAATTATCAGCCCTTGAAAATCATCTTATTACTTGTTTCATAAGATTTTCTTTTTCTCTGATCTTTTTCCCCCATTCAGTTTCTTGTTTCCTTCAAATCTAAAACAATTGTGTGTGGACCAGTGGTTCCCAAACTAGGGGTTACAGCCACAACTGGGTATTGGCATTTACACATGGAATTATAAGCCCCATAGAAATTCATTTGCAGCCGTTGGGTTTTAACCACAGATTGGGTCTCACATCTGGAAGCAGGGTCACCTACATAGGACTGGCATCAGGCTCATAAAGGTTACTCAGTAATTTCAGCGCAAAGAAAATTGATTTGTTCAACTGCCAGTTACTGCTTAAAAGCAGCCTGATTTTTCTTCCACCACAAAGCTGCAATTCTCATTGATTGCCACTGCTGTGTTTTTTAGCTCCTGATCGTGCCAAGCCTGACATCAGTACAGAGAACATTATGTGCCAAATAACCAACCTGATTCCAGATGGCTTCTTCCCTACCTCACCTGAAAGCCAGAATCAGGCACGTGGATATCCAGTTACCATGGATGCCTATCACAGCAATGCTGGTCAGTCACTCTCCATGTTTTTTCCATGGGATACTAAAGACTTTTGACTTAATTGCAATGCTGCTCTTACTTACACTGGTGCAGACATGGACTAGTCTATGAGTTTCTGTCAGATTTACACTAGAGTAACTGAGAGCAGACTTTAGCTCAGAGAATTCGTTTTATGACATTTACTGGACACACAATAAAATCATACAGTGTTAAAATCAGAGAAGGCACAGGAAGTGACAAGGGACAGATCTACATATGGTTTAGGGTTAGGGCAAGGTTTGAGGTTTGGGTTTAAGACTGAATCAGGGCTCAGGACGGTTTTGAATTCTGCTAAGAGCTACCCTTATGGTTCTTCAACTTCAGCCAACAAAGCATCCTTTGTTGCTTTGACTCTAACCCTGAACTTTGAATCTAACCTGTAAAACCAGGTTGAAGGCCAGGAATTTGCATTTATCATGTGGAAGTCAAATCCCTTGCTTGGACTATGCTGTATGCTATATATGTGAGGGAGAGAGCATATTCTAGTGGTTTGAGAGGGGGGGTGAAGACTCCTAAATTCTATCCCCAACTTCAGCATTCACTTGACTCATCTCAGACAGGTCACTTATCACACCAGTACTGAGATTCCTTGTCTCTTAAACGGAGATAATATCTGTCTAGCTCAAGGGAGTATTTTGACTTTCAGAGCTAAATCCCAGTTTACTTCACGCACCTAAGTGAATAGCCAACATGGGGAGGAAGAAGAACAAGACCAAGAAGGTGCATGGTTCAGTAAGATGGCTGCTCCCTTGGATGGGAGGGAGCCCTGGGTTTGAGCCTGGACTCTTGCTCCCATTGTGTCAGAAGCTTCCACACTGCACTGCTACCCTTTCTTTTTATCCAGTGCCTATTAAATGCAAGTTGCAGTCAGTCATCTTCAAGAGAGGGACTGGAGAGGGGTTTGGATAATACCTGTGTCCTGGTGGCTAGAGCTCTGAGATGGGAAGAAGCAGGTGCAAATTCAACCACCTAGAAACTGGGCCCTAAATCTTGGTCTCCTGCTCCATCTACAAGTGCCTTAAGCATTAGGCTATTGGGCTAAAATATGGATGGCCCTCCTCATACTCCTCCATTTTACTTTCAGCAAATGCATGCACAGACTCTGTATAAGTGTCAAAGTGGCAGTTATGTGGCTGTAGAAATACCATTTAGGTGCATAAAGGGAAACTGAAGTCTTCCCATAATGTTTTCATGTGTTTTAAGAGCACTAAATGAAAGACTGGATAACAGCCAAGAATGAAAGCATATTCTCAGGTTTCAAGAACAGAGTTTTCTTCTAACACTAGACCTGACTAAATTATTGGGCAAGGGGAGGTCTCCTGTTCACAACCACAACAGCAACAGACTTGCTGTTATTGATTTATTTAGTGAGCATGACACCGGCTTAGATAGCTACTGGAACAGTGCAGAGGTGCACACAGGCTGGTCCCTAGCAGGGCTGTACGAAGCTTCGGGTGGTGATTTGATTCGGAGGAGATTTGGCCTGATTTGGTGGCCGAATCTCTGAATCCAAATTGAATCAGGGGACCAATTTAAAGGTCTGAATCAATTCAAAACTCTCTGAATCTTTGGCAAAGATTTGGAGAGCTTTGATGATTCGGGCAGTCCCCGGTGGCTCCAGCAGGGAGCTACAGCCACTCCGAGCTGGAGTGCTCACTAGGTGCTGCCAGGTGGGGGGCGATCCCTGCTGCCCCGCTCTGCCCCACGCTGCATGGCAGGCTCTCCACGAACCCCCTTGACCCCCCACTCCTGCTCCCCCAGCCCCCCACCATGGGTACTCCACCTGCCAGGGCTCTGGGCCTTTAAGAAAAAAGAAAAGCCAAGAAAAGCCACTGGACTCATGGCTCCTAGTGCAGCCTCAGTGCAGGAGCAGTGAGTCCTGGGGTTTCTTCAGGTTTTTTTTTTCCTTAAAGGGCCAGAGCTGGCTCATGCGGGACACCCATGATGGAGCTGAGGGCTCGGGGGCTCATACAGAGCTCCCCACACAGCGTGGGGCAGTGGGGGGCAGCAGGGATCACCTCTCACCTGGCAGCACCTGCTGACCCGGGGCTTTTTTTTCTCCAAGTGCTGGGAGCAGGGGCAGGCAGGGTGGCCACTGCCGGGCTGGGAGAGGGGCTGAGGATGGGCCTGGCCTGGGTAATTTGGAGATTCAGCCGAATCGAATCAGGACAGTGATTCGAATCACCGAATCAAATCACAGTCCCCTGAATCGGCCAAATCCAAATCCGAAGCAAATACTAGCCGCTTTGCACAGGCCTAGTCCCTAGCCCTCATAGCTGGGCCAGCATCTCAGTCTGTGCAGTTGAGAAGACAGGAGGACATAGTTTGTAGCCACCTTTGCCACTCTTTTGATCCCAAGTGCCACAGATGGTCAGTTCAGCCACAACACAACTTGAAGTAACCTTATGGCTTCTCTATAAGTGTACCTGGTTACTAGGGATTGTATCCTGGTAATAGCTGAATGCCTGCCATGAAAAATTACTAATAAGAGTGAAACCACAGTAGACTTTATGCAGTCTTTAATTCTCCCCTTCTCTATCTCCATTATTAGGATAAGAGCACTGCAGTTTATATTTATTGTGTGTAATCAGAGATAATACTTTTTTATTATTTTTAAACTGGTGAGGGGCACTCATGTTGCTGTCAAAGTTAAGAGTCATTTTTGTCATGGCAGAGAAGCTTGAACAATTTTAAATTAGGAACTGTGCACTGGTGTACACCAGTTCATGAGTCCTCCTTTTTTTATTAATATCGTCTGTGCTTAGCATCGGAAGTACCATGTCTGACTTTTACTAACTCTTGGTTATAATGCAAGTATATGTTATGGTACCTACATTTGATTCATTTAAATTGTTTTGTTTTGTTTTTTCTAGTTCCAGAGAAGATAATAGGCGTAACTGAACCAGGACACATGGTTGCTATTGTGGTAATAATCTTGGTAATTCTAGGTGGTTTAGTGCTCAGCATTCGATGCATCAGAAGAAAGCCAGGTACAGTATGGCAATACAAATTTAGGCTTCTTATGAATATACATGTCTTCCTATCAACAGAACTAAGAGAGTAGACCCAGCTTCTTTTTTTGTTGGGGGAAGAGGGGAAGGAAGGGGTCGAATCTTGGAATTCCTTAAACAAAACCTCAACATCCTTATTGAACGGCCATTGGAATCAATACTGTGATGGTAACATTCCCATTGTCACTCAGCATTTTGAGTTTTGTCAGTACCTGAGCCATTATGTAAAAGGTTTCAGGCAGAACTACCACTAATAAGGATGGGTTTTTTAAAAATAATAATAATAAAACATTCTGAGTGAAGTTTTTATGCATTTAACATGGAGCTACAGTGACACGTATTCCCTGTGCCTTATAGAATGTGAAAAATGGCTAAACTTGAAATTTCTGAAAATTGTTTCTTAAATAATGCAACAGGGTGTGAACGAAGAAAAATAAGTAATGCTATTTAGTGTCAGCATGCTCAAAGTGTTGTTAAACATCAGAAAATTCAATAGTAAAGGGACAGTTAGTCAGTGATTAGTGTGGGTACTGTGACCCATTAGTTCAGACAAATCTAGATTTAGACCAATGTCCTTACCCTGGACCTTGATAGGCATAGCAATTTTCAGGACAATCCAGATAAGCATGTGGAATTTAGAGCCCTTGGAAACTAACTGATAATCAGGAAATCTTAATTGTAACAATAGCAGAGCTCATACTTTGCTGTAATTGTAAAGGCTCCTTCAGTAAACAAAGGGACATTCTGGCTTTTCTCTACTAGTGTCCTCTAGAGTCTATAGGTTCAGGTGAAGACATTAGCATCAGTGGAAGCAGCTTATTACTCTAGCTGAGCTAAAAGGAAGGTTCTGCCATTAGTGAGGGCCCGTTAGCAGTCAAGGTGAGAAATCTGCAGTTACAGTGTGTTAAAACTGTGGATGGGCAATGCCTGATGGATATAGCAAAAAAGCACAGGTTCCCTGCCTCACCTGCACTGAAGGATTTGCAGTTTACTTCTGTAGTCGAGGAAAGCTGCACTATTCAGTTTTTCCTGTGCTAAAGGACCTGCTGAAAGATGCTGCCATATCCACTGATGAATGTGGGACAGAGCTTTCAGGTAAAAAATAGGCGTAATAATGAAGAAGCCAGTGCAAAAATGGCACTGCCATCATTCAAAATTAGACACCAGGCCTAATCTACACATATTGTATAGAAAACCAGGTGCCAGTGTGGATATTCAAGCCTGGGATTTTGGGGTTCGGGTCACTGACAGGGAGCCAGAGGCTCCTTGCACTTTAAGTGGAGAGTGCAGCAAGCTAAGCTTGCTGTGCGGGGCTGCAGCAGGGGCAGGCCAGCCATTAAGCAAAGGGGAAACTCCTGTGGGTGGCTAAGAGGTGGATTGACCAGAAAGGGTAGTGCTTAGAGGCATATAAACCCAGTGTCTGGAGCAAGGAGTGCAGCCTGACTCTGCATTTTTCAGGGAGAGGAGCTCCTGGAGGGGGTGGATGCAGCAGATAAGCTCACCCAAACTACCTGAGAGTGCTAGATGAGGCAGCTCAGTACCAAATCCAGCTTGTAGCGTGGTATGACCCAGAGTGGGGAGATTTTTAGTTGGAAGTAGTTGCTTAAATTTACGTTATGTTTAATACCGAGGGACCAAGAAGTGGCTGTAGGTGTGATGCAGAGGACACAGAGGTACCTGAGAGGCACAAAGCATAGGGCATAGTGTTTAAGGAGACTGGAAGGGGTAAGAAATTCATTTCTGAAATCTTCCATCATTTTGTTAGTATTAGTCCCATCTTTTCAATGCCTATCCCAGTCAAATTATTAAGGTGAAACGGGGTTGCTAATTTCTGGGCCTTCTGACAAAAGAGGACTGACAATGCCATTAAAATGAAGTATAGGGAATTCACATTTCCCACAGTCTTTGTGCTTTGTCAGGATGCTTCATCAGTAGCATAACTAGGGGTGTGCAAGTAGTATTACAAGGGATGTGCGAGTGGGGTACTAACCCTGGGCACAGATTTAGAGGGAGTGCCAGAATAGCAGCTCCCAGAGAGTCTGCATAGTGCGAGGTAAGACTCTCTAGTGAACTCTCCCCTGCCCTCTGCCCCCATGCTCTCCAGCAGTCAGGATCCTCCCCGCACCAAGCCCAACCACTCACACAGGGATCCAAAATCTCTAGTTGCACCTCTGGCTTGAATCCTGAACCGAGTGCTGGTTCTGCGCCCTCACACTGGCTCCAGTACCTTACTATTAATAGGCCAGGCACCCGCACATTCTACAAATACTCCTGATGTTGGCCTGTGGCATCAGCCACTGTTGCAGTCCTAAGACTCCACTCATCCAGGCTTTTGATTTTGAGGCAGCTTTTGATTTTGTAGTACTCTGTATCTGCCCCTCTGCAATAGTCCCTTAATGACACGAACTCAGGCATGACCATCTCAGGTGTTAAATCTAGCACAAAACCTCCCTGTTGTCTGGAATACCAGGGATACCATCCAGCTTCGCATGACAGCTGAGGTGTTGCTCTGGTCTATTCCTCTGTCCGTACTTGCTCTCTGTTCTGTGGATGAAGGACTTCAGTCTCCACATTTCTGTCCCTGATTATTTTAACAGCACAAAAAATGTGTGTGTATAAATGAAGCTGTATTCCTGATGGTCTCAATGGTATCTTTCACCCTCAACTTTGCAGTAACGTGGCGGCGAGGAACAGAAAACATCTAAAGTGGAAGAAAAAAAAATGTCTTCAATTCGGAAAGGACTCCACCAGCATCAGAGGACTGCTAAAAGTAGCTGAGGAAAGTAATTTACTACATCCTGAGCAGTCCAAATACACTGTAATGCATTTTAATACCCTTTGAAACACATTTACTGAAGAAAAGTCCTAGTCAACATCATACAACTGCTTAGTGGGATATAGTATCTTTCTGGAGCTCTACAAAGCATCAGGTACTCTAGAGGGAGGATTCATCTTCAGAATTATTCAACCTGTTCAAAAGCACATTTCTTGAACCGGCTGAACTCTTTTGTTCAGATCCTGGCTTTCATTAACTAAACGATTAGTCCATCCGGGAACCTTTCTGGAATTGATGAAAATAAGGACAATTCAATGGCCATAACTTTGTAGAATATCCTGTTCCTTATTAAACACGGGCTTCTGGACTAAGTGTATGTAAAGGGTAGGTTAGCTGTAATGACTACTTCTGGGTTTTAACAAAATAATTACATAGTCTTACAGATTCCACCTCAATCTCACATTTTTTCACTATAGTTTGTGGTATTTAAGATGAAAGCTAAAAAAATCCATTTGATTCTAATATGAACTTTTTGCAGGCCAGGTTTTAGCTGAACAGAATTTGGAAGCACTTTTACCAATTTTCTCAGAATTGTTCAAGAAATCCTAGCTTAATTCAGGAATTGCGTGTTGAAAACCTGAGGCAGGTTCTTTCTGTTCATCATTTAAGTCCCTAATAAACTGCAGCATTACTGTAACTGTTCTCAGTCCTCTGGTATGTACCCTAAAGAAAACCACATTGTGCAGGTAATTTCAGATTATTTTGTTATTTAGAGAAAGATAAACATATTGAAAAAGTCAATAGTCAATCTAAAATAGGGGTGGGCAATTTCAGCTGGTGGGCCGCTTAAGTGAGTTGTGATGACCTGGCATGAGCTGCACACATATAATTTTTCAGAATATATCATTTTAATCAATTATAAATAAAAAATCAGATACTAAAAATCATCAAACATCTACTGTAACATGTTTAATTTTATTTCTAAAAATAATTTTTGTCCCGATACACGCTTTTCTTAGTAGTGTATATAGAGGCAATTGGCTGGACATGTGGTAGCTGGTGCACATCCCTACAGCTGCTGCCACTTCCCTGTGCTACGTGCTGCCCAAAGTGACACACCAGGGGCAGGAAGGGCCAAGCAGCACCTGAGTGGCTACAGCAGGAGCAGCACTGCCAGGAAGCTGGGCCAGGGCTGGGGCTGGGGCTGGTGGGGCTCAGCCTCCTGTGGAGTACCTTGGGGGCAGCTGTGGGCGAGATACAACCAGTTGGCAGGCTGCCTCCAGCCCATGGACCCTATTTTGACCATCCTGGATCTATGGATATAAGAAGCTTGATTGTCCTGTCTTCTCCTAAAACAAACAATTTTTAAGGGAATATCATTTCTTAAAATAAAGGGCCATGATGTTTCTGGATCTGCAGACAGATTGAAGTGCTATTTCATTCAGAGGCCAAGTGGTGACTTCTAAATGTGCTGGTAGACAACCTCATCATAGTGCTTTATTTCTGAAAAGTTTCTCTAGAGTTCAACCAATGTAAGGTAAAGAAACAGGGCCTATCAATGCTAAATTAGAACTACCGATAAATGTAAAAGTTTAGAATTCAGGTTTGAATTGAATGAGGCCTCAGATGTTTGTGTAAATATACATGATACACAACTTTTAAGCACAACTAAGTGAATATCATATTTACTCACATAGCACGTTCCTTCAAATAAGGTGCACACCTTTTTTACAAAAAAAATCAGAATGTAGGAAAAAAGTTATTTCCTTTTAACCAAACTGTGCAGGATCAGTTTCCTTGTTTGGCGTGCACTCTGATTTTCAATTGCTAAGTTTTAAAGCTAAAGGTGACTGCTACATGAATAATAAGGGAATTCATAATCAATATATGTTTTTTTTCTTTTGCTTAATATCCAAAACTACTGCAGTTTTCTTATCTTAGATTGTTCTTTTCAATTTTTGTGTACTTAATTGTGCTTTTTAAAAAACTGAATTAACTGGAGAGATCTTTGTGAATGAATGAGATTAAACAGTGCTGTTCACTGCTGTTCATTAGTCTGTGATTGTTCAGACAAGCCACTTTTCTCCTCCTCCATCTCATGCAAAGAAGCATTTCTGGTGCAACAAAATGCACGTTGCATTTGTAGTTGCTACCAATGGACCTCTGTGACAAAACAAAGTTGTTTAGATGGTCACAGTAATTTGATATGAAAGGATTACAAAGCAACACCAATTCAAAGTCCCTTAAAATTCCAGATAAATATTGTCTTCATTTCTTTTTCCACTTTGCTCATCCAACTGTGAACACGAGTCTGCAATGTTTAGCAGGGAATCTCATGAATTATAGGGGTGCATGTGTGATATCTTGCAATTTTTAAACCTTGTCATGGTCAAACCTGGGAGTGCAAAGGCCTGTGACAAAACCAAACAAAATGAGACAAAAAAATAATTTCAGAAATATAAAAAGCTTTTGTGCTGACATTTGGTTCTTGAAACAGGCAGAAGCTACTACCAATTCACTGTTATTTTTTTCCAAAACACTTTGTCTCACCTTTGTTAGCATCTGTATTGTTGCTAATCTGAGAAACCCTTTCCAAAGCTGTCACTAGGTGTTCAAATTTTGACAATGTCTATGTGCTGTCAGACCTCAAAAGCTTCAAAAAAAGCTGGTAATCTCCAGGTATCCATTTTTTTTTTTAGATATTCATTAGGACAGGGGTCTAACCTTTTGCTGGCATGGGTCATTCCAACCCAGCCCTGATCATAAGCCACAATTCTCTGTCCCCAGAGTGGCCAGCTGCCTGCACTTACCCTCACTGAAGGTCTCCATCCCCTCTGCAGCAAAAGTAAGTGCTGATGCAGCAGAACAGCTGGCTCTACAGCAGGGCAAAGCACTGAGGGGATAGATGTCATGGTGTGGCTTTGTGCTATTAATTTCCTTCATGCCGGACTGGATATCCTTTGCAGGTGGGTGTGGGCAGGGGCAGAGGTGGAGGGAGTGCGGGGTGTGGAGGAGTGGTTCATGAATCATTTCCACTTTAGGCGAGCACTGATTATATTTTCAGAAAGGGTTTTGTAGATCCCAGTAAAATTTAAAATATACATTGTATGTCACTTGGGTGCATAGATGTAGTAGAGTTATTTCTTTTTCATGTTTAGAAAATGCCACAACAAATTCAAATACTGTGAAACAGTAAACAGGGATCTTCAGTAGCAACCTCTGTTGTGTATATATGTATCTGTTTTATACATAATAGTTTGATGGTGTCAATGTTCCACGGTGGAGCATTTCAAATATTTTTTGTGGTCAGATCACTGATGTTGTTGGGTGATGTCTCCAGTGGTTTAGGACTCAAATTGTACAAGTCTGGGAGTTTCGCATTTAATAATTCCTGATCTGCATGTTGTGTATAAACAAACAGGTGGGATTTTAGATCTCATTCATAGTATGGGCACTTAAGTCCTGGTATACACACACTTACATGTGCGAGGATCCAGTGAACAGGACACTTGGTAATGATCTCAAATCCAATTTTTACAGACATGCAGAGTTTCATCCAAGTGGGTTGTCTCAAACTCAGGTGTTTATTTGCATATAAAGTAAGAGCATTTATTTTCTGATTTTGCCCTTTATCCTAAGCTGTGCTTCTTGCATGTAACTACTGATTTCAGAACACACATTTCAGGAACTTATCTTCATACAACATTTCACAGTGCATGTTTTGGGCTAACCTGTTAAACTACATGTCCTTATGTATCTTGTTGTAAATAAATTCCTCTATTCAATAAAGTGTTTTTTTATGGATAAAAAAATACCATGATGACTGCATCTTCCAAGTAAACTCATTTGGTTGCTACCTTTTATTTTAGCAGTTTCTTTGTTTCTTTTCTCCTCTTGATGCCTCCATAATTGTCCAATGGGCTTCTATTTCTCAGACAGCTCTGGTATAGGGGTGTGCAAAGTGGGCCTTATTCAATTTGCATTTGGATTCGGCCTGAATCAGGGACAGTGATTCGATTCGTTGATTCAGATCACTGTCCCTGATTCGATTTGGCTGAATCCAAAGCTGAAGATTCGATGCTGATTTGGAGAATCAGTGATTTGGCCATAGACACAGCTTTAAAAGTTTTTCTACATACCTCGAGGTAGTAGGCATGGCTTATGAACGCAGCAATGCTGGGGCACATGGAGCGTCCCACAGAAGTGTGGGGGGGCCCTCCATGTGCTCAGTGGTGAACCCGGAAGTGGACCGGAAGTACTTCTGGGTCTGCTGGGGAACATGCTGGGCAGCCCCCCCGAACCTCCTGTGCCCCCCCCGATGCAGAAGGCACCAGCCGGGGTGGGGGGGGGCGGGGGGCCCCCAGCATGCTCCCCAGCAGATCCAGAAGTAGACTGGAAGTGCTTCTGGTCCACTTCTGGGTCTTCTGGGTCTGCTGCAGAGTGCACTGGGGAGCTACCTGCGCTTCTGTGGGACGCTCTATGTGCCCCAGCATTGCATCACTCATGAGCCCCTACTATCTTGAGGTATTTAGAAAAAACATTTAAAGCTGTGTCTATGTCCAAGTCTATGAATCTTTCCGAATTTCTCTGAACCTACTCGGAGGGTTCTGATTCGATTCGGAGAGATGAAAGTGTCCTCTGATTCGATTCGGATTTGGAGGTTTGGCCACCGAATCAGGCCGAATTTCCACTGAATCGAATCAAGGACTGAAGCTTCACACAGCCCTACTCTGCTATTCTTTGGCACTACCTAGGCCTGTTTGCACTCCAGGTCTAAGTACAGATAGTCAAAAATCCCAAGGCTGAATCTGGTCAATCTTCACAGGTTAATCTAAACCATGTAGATTAAATTGATAAGCAAGTTGTCCCAGGGCACTAAGGTGCCTGCTCCTTTAAGGACTGAAACTGCTGAGGGAGAGAGCCCTAGCAGTCAGGCAGGAACCCCACAGGTGTAGGTTACTGTGGCAGCAGGCCTAAGGAGGGCATTAGCCTGCCCCTGCAGCTGGTCAGCTGACTGGAAGAGGCAGGGCCCTGGGCCCATATAAACCCCAGGCCTGGGACTAAAAGGTCAGTTCCCTGCCATCAGCCAAAGGGGAAGGAGCCTCCAGGGAGGAATTGCCCAGAGACACTGCAGCTGCCTGGTATGCTGCACTTAGGGCTAATGGGGATCCAGGAGCTCACCCGGTACCCTTGACTACTAGGCACTTAGTGCCAGGGAAGAAGTTTGACTCCTTTAAAGGGGTAAAGCACACCCTGAACTTCTTGTGTTATGTTGTAGCCTAGGGGCTTCAATTTTTGTTGCTGTCTTATAACTCCAGAGGATCGGGCTGAGGCTATTGGGGAAGTAGAAAGCCTCATTGGAGGCCTACTATAGTGTGGGGACCCCAGCACCGGAGTGGGCACAGTATTTGGGGTGAACAGACCCCAGTGCCAGGGGTGCAGTGGCAGAGGGGGTGAGCGGACCCCAGTGCCAGGGGATGCCAAGAGAGAGAGAGGCAGGGTTGTGGAGAGCACAGTGATGACCGATGGCCAAGCTAAATTAAAGCCTTGGAGGGACAATGAGTAAATGCCATCTGCGAGGCTTGGGAGATGATAAAGTGGTGGTTTGGAGTGACGCATCTAGCCCATAGGTTGAGGGTGTCCTGAGAAGCACCCATTTTTGGAGCGGGACCCAAAAAGGGTCCGAGAACCCACAGGATTTAGCGGGGTCCATCAGGACTGTGCACGACAAACTCAAGGGCAGCCTCCCTATTCATAATAATCATCAACAAGACATGGCAGGTCGGAAAGAGGGTGCCCATTGGGTAGGATTGGCATGGTCAAGGGGACCTAGGGGTATCACAGCCATCCCTGAGGACCCCATCCCATAACATTCACTTTTGATTCTGGAAATGCAACCACATGCCAGCAATGGCTCAGGCCAGAAGCTGGGATGAACCAGAGAACACCTCCCTGCTCAGCTAGAGCAGGCAGCATGGATCAATGCAACCCTGCCAACCTTGGAGAAGGTTTGCAGGGGAAGTGTAAAGCATCCTGGGATGCTGGAGGACTGTGAGTTAACTTGAATCTGAAGGGGATCTGGGACAGAAGTTTAATAAACTAATTGAACCTAAATCAGTTAAGTCAGATACTACATCCATCCAGCTTTATCTTAAACTGGTTTTGGCCATTTTGAAAGTGGTTTATTTGCACTGAACTTCTGTTCTGTCACAAATTTGAACTGATTTCCAATCACTTATACTGGTTTATGTGGAACTGATGTCCTTAGCCCAGCTCACCCAGCTGCTGTCCTGTATTCACCTACCATGCTTTGATTTCTGACCATAATAAATTTAGGAGCCAGTTCTTAGATTACTGCAGCAATCACCTTTGTGCCTCTCTGCTGCAATCTTTAACAGCTCTGACTCTTGGCTCCCAAGCCTCAGCTTGCTCCAGTTTACCCACCCAGGTCCCTCACCAGGTGCTCACAGTGGCCTCTCTTTTCCCATTAAAGCTATGCTTTATCTCATAGAAATATTCTACCCGAAACACAAGCATCAGAGGTGTAGGCTGTAGCCATGTTGGTCTGAGGACATAAACAGACAAGGTTCTTTGGGTGAATCTGATATCTTTTATTAGACCAACTAAATAGTTGGAAAAAAAATTCTTAGCAAGTTTCTGGGTTTAAAAACCCTTCATCAGGCTGAGGAATGCCAGGCAGGTTGTGTGTCATAGATCCAAAGTGTATATTTAATCCATGAACTTTTTGTAGCCAGGAGGTTTATGAAGGGAAATTCATAGGCTTGTCTGTGAAAAATGTTTTGTAAATTCCCTTTGAGAATTAGAACTGAGAGATTGGAGAGTGGTTTTTCTTGCGAGAAATGTGCCCCCGCAGGGTGTTCTTGTCTTTAATAGATTTTTGGTGTGCGCTCATTCTGGTGCACAGTTGTTGTTTGGTCTCTCCTACATATTTTCCATCAGGGTATTTGGTGCATTGGATGAGAGAGATTACCTTTCTGGAGATGCAGCTGTAAGATCCAGGAATGCTAATGGTTCTGTTATGGGGTGTAGTGATTGCGGGGGTGGTGGAGATATGTTGGCAGGTTTTGCACTTCTTGTCATGGAATGGTCTGGATCCATTTGGTGTGTTTTGGGCCTCTGGAAGTTTGCTTCTAGTGATGAGATCAATGAAGTTCAGTGCTTGTTTGAAGGCTAGGATGGGTGGTTCTGGGAAGATCTCTTTAAGAATTGGGTCTCCTTCTAGTATGAGTTGCAATTGTTTGAGGATTTTCTGTATAGGTTTGAGGGAGAGGTGATATATCATAAACAGCAGTGCATGATTTTTGTGGGGGTTTTCCTTCTGTACTGTAGCAATCCCTCACCCACTGACTCCTCAGTTTACATCTTTACTGACTGGCTTTCTTGTATGCATACCAGCCTTTAGCTTCTTTAGTCTTCATTCCATCCAGGAAGAATGCACAGTAGGCTTCCTCAACCTGATGAAGGGTTTTTAAACCTGAAAGCTTGCTAAGATAATTTATTTCCAACTGCTTAGTTAGTCTAATAAAAGATATCAGATTTACCCAAAGAAATTTAAGCATCAGCAATTCCAGATGTGCGTGTTCCCTGATTGAGGGGTGGTCACTTCAACACAAGCAGATTCTCCCGTGCTTGTTGGCTCCCCAGCTTCAGCCCCTCAGAGTTACCTTACTGTCTGCAGTTTGTGATTCCCACAGAGCCCAGCTGCACATGCAAATTAAAGCTGGTTAGAAACCAGCTATAGAGTTGTTACACATTTTCAGGCACTAACTTTATAACTGGTTGGCTCTTTTTACAGCTGGATAGGCCATTTTTATCATGTGATAATTACTTTGCACACATTGCTGGTCTAAATGTGTTTCACAATTAATTCATTAATTGAGTGATAATTGCTTTCCACTTGTGGCCAGTCTCACTTTGCACATGTGGCTGGTCTAATTTTATTGTGCAATTAACTAGTTTATTGTGTAATACATATAACGTCTAGCAGGGGCCCCAGTTGGAAGCCTGAAGCCTTCCCTCAAGGAACCTCTCTCCCTGCTATGACCTGGGTCAGACTGACTTCTCAGATCATGAGCCAGACTTATGGCCCCTAGGCTCAGTCTCTTCAGTCACCTACACATCATGGGCAATGAGATTTCTTACCTAATCAGCAGGCCTATACCATATTGTTCCCAGCACTTTCAGTTCTGAGAAAAGAGATACCTGGACCAAAAAAAGCAATGTTTGATTATGGGCTTAATCTGGCTTTCACTGAAGCTAATGGTAAAACTGCTGCTGAATTCAGTGGGATAGGTTCACTGGAACAAGCAAATATAAGAAAAATGAATCCATGGTTCAAAATCAAGCCACCTAAAGACAATACCCCAAGACGTTGTACAATGCCTACACATGAAAGAGAATACCTTCCTAAGCCAGAGATAAACAACTTGGTTGTCAAGCAAATTAAGAATTATTTTAAAAGGAAGAGAAACTTGAAGTCTGAGGATATGACAGTTCAAGGTCCTCTCAAACTGTGTGGCTCCAGATGGCACATAAAAAGTGGAAAAGGGGAGAGATCACCAAAGAGGAGTATACCTCCTCTGCTCGTGCTTGTAGGGAGGCAGTTAGACGGGCCAAAGCTACCATGGAGCTGAGGATGGCATCCCAAGTTAAAGATAACAAAAAAATGTTTTTTAGATATATAGGGAGTAAAAGGAAGGCCCAGGGAGGAATAGGACCCCTGCTAAATGGGCAGAAGCAATTGGTGACGGACAGGGGGGACAAGGCTGAACTCCTCAACGAGTTCTTTGCCTCAGTGTTCCTAAGTGAGGGGCACGACAAGTCTCTCACTGGGATTGTAGAGAAGCAGCAGCAACGCACCTGACTGCCAAGCGTAGACCCTGAGATGGTGCAGAGTCATTTGGAAGAACTGGATGCCTTTAAGTCAGCAGGCCCGGATGAGCTCCATCCGAGGGTGCTGAAGGCACTGGCCGACATCACTGCACAGCCACTGGCGGGAATATTCAAACTATCGTGGCACACGATCCAAGTCCCAGAGGACTGGAAAAGGGCCAGTGTGGTCCCCATTTTCAAGAAGGGGAGGAAGGAGGGCCCGGGCAACTATAGGCCAGTCAATCTCACCTCCATCCTAGGCAAAGTCTTTGAAAAAATTATCAAGGCTCACATTTGCGAGAGCCCGGCAGGACAAATTATGCTGAGGGGAAACCAGCACGGGTTCGTAGCAGGTAGATCGTGCCTGACCAATCTAGTCTCTTTTTATGACCAGGTTACAAAACGCCTGGACGCAGGAGTAGG